GAGGGCATGGGACAGTGGTATGAAAGAGTGACTTGCGCGATAAAGTGGTTTAAAGTAAGCAAGAATTGCACAGTTCTCTTCATTCTCTCGCTTCTCTTTACGTCTGCATCCAGTAAAGTCAGGTTCAGTGAATGACCAAGCTGCTTAACGTCCTCGGCGAGCTCTTTGCGTTTCACAGCGCGTTGATGGTAATTACTGTCATATCTGTTAAATCGAGCATTGATTTCCTCCACACATTTAGCCGAGTCCAAACTGCATGCTTGGACAGGTGGATCCTAATTTACCGACGCTATTAACCATTGGGCTACACTCACCTGGGTTACCTGACCTGTCAAAATCATAGCCCCGCAGGTGACCGCTGCCACATGCAAAAGTGAATACATACTTGGCGATATGCCGACGTGTGCATTGATACTTTACTCCAGGTACTAAAAACAAATTCATTGAACAGTACTCAATCAGATCACCAGGCACAATTACGTTTGCATCTATTATTACGCAAATATGTATGTAAGAGTGTGTGTATATGTATGTATGAATGCATGCATGTATGTACGTATATATGCTTATGTGTGTGTATGGATGTGTGCATATACATTATGCCTGTGTGCATGTATGTTTGCATGCATGCATGTATGTATATACGGATATATGCGTTTATGTGCATGTATGCACGCATGCATACGTGTATCTACGCAAATACATTTTGTGTGTGTGTGTGTGTGAGAGAGAGAGAGAGAGAGAGAGAGAGAGAGAGAGAGAGTATGTGTGTTTGCGTGCACATGTTTGTGTGTGCATGCGTAAACTATCACAGATCGTATGCAAGATACCTGACGTTTGTTTAATTTTTATTTGTCACGTTCGACAGTCAGTTCTCAAGACTTCCACATTCAACTGATGCTCGCTAACCAGACCTTTGTAACGTGTAGGAACATGTACACATCCAAGATCAATGATACAATACTGGACGTTAATTGTTTACCGGGGCAATTTTTTCAGGACCTCGTTGTTAGCGGGGATGGTGTCAAATCTTTGTGTACAGTATTTGTAAGTGGAGGTAAGTGTGTACACAGTACATCGTTAATCATTTAAATAAGTCGTGTGAATACAGTAAATAATGTTAACAGTGTTCAGTGTCAATAATGATATGAATCTATTTTTTCATTATTTTACTGTCTAATGATTTATTGCTCCTAAGAAAATAATTTTAATTATTGCATTTGGAAATCTCAATACGTACTCAAGTCTCTACGTAAAGGTAGGAAGAATATCAGCATAGTAAAGGTGGCTAAGGCGTTGCGAGTCTGACTCGTAAGCCAGCATACCGCGATCGAAACCCACTGCAGGCTGCGTGGATTTTTATCGTGGTATGGGACGTCGCAGGTCGACCCAGCCTCAAATGGGTACAAGGATGGGCTGTCCTGGGAAAGTAAAGACAGCCGGCGTAATGCTGACCACATTACCCACAGAGTGCTGATGGTCTGTAAAAATATGGGACGCTCTGCCCATATGCCCGATGCGCCGAAAGGCGTGAAAAGGGATCTTTACTTTACTTTACTTTTACACTACGTAATACTGAGCAAGGATTCAAACGAATGTACATGTCATAATCACGCAATCTATAATTATTATTTGCTTAGGTTTCTTCCAAACTTTAAAATTTACCTTGTGCAAAGACTACTCAAAGCAACTGCACTAAGGCTGTAATTTAAGTTATTGAAATCAGGCGTTACCCTCTTGACAAAACTTTTGCCAGGCCACTCAACAAAGTTCAACGAAAAGAAACCGAGCAATGTGATATAATCACTATGCAATAATAAAGTCATGTCTTTTCATTTTAAAATCGTATATTTTGTAGAAGTATGCTGATCTAATGATTCGAAATTATAAACTTTTGGTTTCTCTTAGCTTAAAGGTGAAAGATAGTTACATTCTTGAGCTTCATTTCCCCATTTTTGTAGTCTAACTTAGGAGATTGACACGATTTTGTTATTCTCAGAAGATTGACTTTTCTCAACTCTCCCTCCTCTTCCCATATATTTTCTGTCTGTGTCATTCAAGGAGAATCTTATGCTGTCCTACCACACTTCTATATGTATTGTTTTTACTTATTTAACTATATGTAAGCAACCACACCACGAGTACACAAGTAGTCCAAAGAAAGCCATGCTATTTTGATTGAGTAAAGTACAGAAGAGTGACTAAACAGGCTCCGGTGGACCAAGAGGTGAGGAAAAGACGCTGGCGTCGGATAGGACACACACTGAGAAAACAGGAGAACAGCATAACTAGAATGTCTTTGCACTGGAACCCACAGGGGCATAGGAATAAAGGAAGGCCAAAAAGCACATGGAGAAGAGAGCTGGAGAATGAATTTAGACATTGGGAGAGTTCCATGCAATAGCGAAGGATAGAACGACTTGGCGTGAGTTGGTTGAGGGCCTATGCTCCATTAGGGGATAAAAAGACAGAAGAGAAGAAAAAAAGACAGAAGAGTGGAATTAAGTAATTCGCATAATATTCCTTTTCATTAACTCTATTTATTTTAAGCCCTAACAACTCGACACCCTCCCCCCCCCCCCCTCCCCTTTTTCCCACAGAAAAATAATTAGACTCACAAATAGTGTTAGTTTATATGGATTATCTTTATCAGATGTTGGCATATCTGGCTCAAGGATTATGTAGTCAGAATAATTTTTGACGTACCGGTCAGCTGCAAGCGATTCAGAAAGAGACCAATTCGAACTTATTTAACAACTGAATGAGGGTCAAGTGCTGTTAGGGTAAAGGCAAACTTCTTTTCTTCTGTTCTGTTGACCGACTCAACTCCCCTAGTACACAACAACTCTCAAACCCGCTTGGACAAAGCCTTTTTTTTTTTATTTCCCCCCCGAGTTCATGGCTTAATCCACAGCACTCCGTGTCGGCTGAGTGAACTCGAACTAGCCTCTGACACTGACTCACTGCTTCCCGTTCGGTTTAAAAAAAAAAAAACTCCACAACACTTAACCTGCTGTTACCTAGTTAAAGCTGCCAACAGTCTACGATTATATTTGTGGCCTGATTTATTACGACACTTTCGTGGCTGAGGTTCTGGTATGTGGACCAGCTCCCTGGCTTAGTGTCCCTGTACTCAAAGTGCGTTTCTCCTGTCCTTATCTTCGTGATGTTTTATTTCTGGATCATCCTCCGTTCTAGTTTGGCCAGGCGTACCTTGTAGGGGACCGAGCTAGTTCTTCTCAACGTCTTTTAACCACAATTTATAGTTTTGAAATTTTTGAGTTTCTTAATTTGCCAAAAGTACTAAACACAGTTTTTGGGGTTGGATAGATCCGAAATTGTAAAAATATTTCGCTTTTGACCATAGTGATCTCATAGTTGTCTTTCTGTACTAGGAGAGGGATAGGCATGTCATGGTGATGTGTACGAAAGGAAAGGTGAAGTCTCACAATAGTTCTAGCCTTGATTTGTCGTAGTGCGGTCAGGTTGTCGAGGTTTGGATTGGTGGATGGGCTCTGGTGTACGTAAGTAACTGATCCCCCGAACACCGACCTCAAGTGCTTTCCGCTAGATGTTGTTCAGGGCTGATGTGGATGGAATTCTCATGCGCTGAAACTCATGTGCCCGGCTACGAAGGCTGCTGTGATTTCTGGAGTGGGAAACGTGCAATCAAACGCATGTGCTCACAGAGAAACTTTTTCCCAAACCAGGTGGAGAGGACTAGCATCATGTACACTTGGCATAAAGAAAGCAAAGGTTGTTTTTTTTCAATACATCGAGGATAGTTTATATGAGCGTGGCCCAATAACTGTTCTAGCCCACACGCGATTACTGATAGAGGAGTGTGTGTGAATCAGTTATGAAAACTATTTTCAGGACGCAATGTTGCACTGGGACAAGATACTAAACAAACATCTGTATTCGAGGGTATGAATTCTTCGCGTGCTGTAGACGGGGATAGAAGTCCCGAATATAAAGATAATAGCTGTGCCCATACTAACAATTACGACAGCACACCAACGTGGACACTGACTTTCGGATTGCCACATATCATAAACAGATACCTCTTATTCAACAGAAACAGTGAGTTAACACGGTCCTAATGTTTGTTTAACAAAAAGTGTGTGTGTTTATGTACGAATGTCAGTCTGTGTTTGTGTGTGTCTCTTTTGTGACTTTATATATATATATATATATATATATATATATATATATATATATATATATATATATATATATATATATATATATATATATATATATATATATATATATATATATATATATATATTAATAGGTACATTTTTCAAAACCAGTGTGGGAATGAGGCAGTGCTGCATATTACCCTTTGTGTTGTTCTGTTTGTACCTATAATGCATAATGATACAAACACTAGAAAATCATGAAACATCTGTATCTCTTAGCAGAATATCACTGTGTAATTTACGCTTCGCAAACGACATTGGCTGGCCCCGAAGCAGAACTGCAAGAGCTTACTACAAAACTAGAAACAATATGTAGTAAATATGGCAGGACTGTCCTGGGGAAGTCAAGATCACAAAATAGAAAACACTGATAAGACCAATAGCCCTAATTTGTTCTGAAGCTCTGACTACAAATAAAAACGACCAAAGCCTTGTACACTTGTGAGAACAGAAACGTAGACGAATGCTTGAGCCCATCAGTGGTAGAAATGGTGAGTAATGGAGAATGACAAGCAACGGCAAAATTAATCATATGTTTAAATTGATATTATTTAATGCCGTTATGAGGTTTAACTGCTGCTCTGGCAATTCCTAAAACGTCTTCGATGCCAAGCTGAACTGGCACTAGCTCTATCCTTGGTATTACTGTCGACGTAGAGAGGGGGTACCTGCTGTCTTGGCAACAGCATGTACTTCAATTCAACATACCTAGGCCTGTACCCCAGAGAGACTACACCAGGGGTAAATTTGGCGTCTGTGGTTTAGGGGTTGCGATTGTGATTTGTAATCCTAAAATAACGGGTTAGATTCCAACTACAGACGATTTGGTAGCAGACCTTTCAGGGAGCAGGGGCGAACTACTGGAAAACCACAAAGGGACAGAATAAGCTAGGTTTTTTGAAGAAGAAGAATGAGCGCTGAAAGAACAACCATAGTTATGGCAAATAGAGAGAATGGCACGCGACAGAGAGATGACATCGTCTTTCACAAAAGAGCTGACTTGGAGTAGCACCCGATTCAAGAGAAGGTTAATCAAAGGTGAATGGAGTAATGCATGCAGCAATGAACTTTAATTGCTAGAAAGGCTAAATTTAAAAAAAAATTGTATATATGTATATCAATGGGCAAATTTTTCAAAACCAGTGTGAGAATGAGAGCTAATAGGCTTAAATGGTTTTGACATATTGAAAGAATGTCAGATGACAGAGAAGTAAAAACTGTATACACAAGGAAGATGAATGGTCGTAGACCACGAGGCAGACCAAGAAGTCTGTGGAGACCTGCAAACACTTGGTGTCACCAACTGGAAAGTGAGGCCCATCCAGAAAGATGAATGGAGGCGGGTGATATCTGCAGCAATAAACCTCAAGGGCTAGGAATGCTGAAGAAGAAGAAAGGTGGGAATGAGGCAATGCTGCATATTTGCCATTTTCCGTGATAATTTCTGTTTGTATTATTCAGTGTGTGGCACGATCTAGCAATATATTATAATTATCTCTGCTGGTATTCTTTTGATAGATGCTTAGATTAGTTGTTTCAATCCGTTGGATGTTATCATTATCGCTAAAAATATTTTTATGCTTGCTTTCGAGACACAAGAGAAGTGGAGAAAAAGACAAAGTTTTAATTATTCCAACTTCGACCCCCAGAACAAACGAAAACGTGGAATTAGTTTGTCTGCAAACTTTTTAAAAAAATCTGTCCATTTTCAAAATTATCGTTTGACTACTAGTAAGCAAACCACTATCGGGACTGTTACAACAAATTTTAGGAAAACAGGATCTGTGCGAGACTTTCCACTCACATCTTGACCACAAGAAAGCGCAACTGGATTTCCGTTCAATTGGAAAAGCGTACGTTTTAGGGAAATAATATGAACTTAATTATAGCTAGTATTTCGCTTACAGTTTTGCAGGTGAGTATGACCCTATAGAATGCTAAACGAACCGAGAAAGCATTGACTGGAATGACCAGCCAATGTCACATTTCTTAAACATCCCGATGTGAAGTCCGAAATAAAGTTCTTTAGGCAGAATTTTAGTAAAACCTGATGAGCCTCAGCTAGGTCCAAGAAGCAAAACGTGATATTGGAAAGGGGAGCGAGGGAGAGGGGAGAGAGAGAGGAGGAGAGAGAGAGAGAGAGAGAGAGAGAGAGAGAGAGAGAGAGAGAGAGAGAGAGAGAGAATCCAAGAATTTAAATTCCTGGCTTTCCAAACAGAAACTTCTCATTTTCTCCCACCTCAGTATCATCTAAGCATTCGACTCTTCTCAGGAAGGTCAAAGAGAGGTTAAACTTTCATTCATTTCATTTAACTGTTTTTGTATTTATGTATTTCAGGACTAGGCAGTATATGAATTATTTTATACAACCACCACTAACGTATAATAAGTCGTTGACAATTGAATATTTTCTTCGTGGGAACGGATTAACTATTCTCCCATTATAACTTATGGGAAAGTTCTTGATATACGTAATTTTTAGTATGCGTCCAAGTACGTATACTGAGGTGCCCGTTTGTGTGTGTATGTGTGAAACGATTACATATCATTTTCAATGACATAATTAAATATTCACTTTCTGTGACGTTTCAGTTCTACAAGAAAGACTCCGAGGATTTTTTCTTGAAGCCGATCAAGAGAACGGAAATGTAGCATTTACTTACACTGAGCCGACCAACACCGACCAAAGCCTGTACATAGTCCAGTCTGATTATGCACAGATACCAGTATCAAGCGTCAAAATTGTTGCCAAAGACAAACAGTCCTTCCAAGGCTATACAATCTTGACCCTCTGCGAGGTGGAGATGTACGGCGGTAAACAAAAGTTTTAAAATAATGTTATGTTGTTGTTTCAGTCATTGCCTTAAACATTTACAAATATCTGACACATGTAGGTAAATAAGTTGTACCCCACCAGGACATCATACAAGCGATAAACAGCTGGTGACACAAATTGCCACCATGCGGATGAGGATCACCCAATGGAGAGATCCCGAAAACCTCGTCAGCCGCCATGCAACAAATAAGACCCGGCTATATTTGGGCCAGGGTAAAACTTCCTAATAACTCAAAATTTCCTTCCGCATTTGGATGATAAAATGGTTAATCAAAATATGTGACATGTATATATGTGTTTACAATTGTCAGTAAGTATTTATACAATAAATCACAAATGATTTCTGTATTTCGTGTGTTTATTATAAATGAAGTGTTAACTTCTCCCAAACCATGACAAAGCACGAGTTAAACTTTCTTTTACCATTATGAATACAACGTTTAATTTAACAGTCACATTGGCTACCCAGGCATTTCTTTGCATATTGTCAGTCAGTAAAAGTAAACTTTCGCTGCAGTTAAAGCCGTCTGAAGATTTTTTTCCTATAGCTTCCCTTGCAAAGGTAATTTTCTTCAAAATTATATTTCGCTGTTATCTTTTTTGTCACCACATTTCTATGTTTGTCTGAGATAATTCATTTGTCCATCTCCCAAACTGTTAAATACTTGTGAAAGTATTACAAGGGAAAACTCGGCTGCACTTAGGGGCAATGACTTGAGATACGACAGCGGTAGAGACAAAGATGAAGTGGAAGACGGGATTTTAAATAAAGGCTTTTAGTTAGACGCCCTATTTCCACTAGGTCTACACATACGGCAGTTAAATATAGTATGTCATAACTGTAAAATGTCGTACTTATTGCCATTTATGACTCTTCATTTTATGATTTAATAATTTTTTTAATACATTAAATTTAAATTGATATCTAGATACTTTCTGAGAAAGTCGTGAGAAGGGAAAAATTAGAACACATCATGATAAAAGAAAAGTTAGAAGAAAAGAGAAGCAAGGTAGACCACACAAACAAAAATATGATAAGTTGAGTTGATTCAATAACCGACATCACAGTACTCGGGGAATTCCCATAAGCGCACTGTCCCATCTGCAGCAGCCAGCGAAGAGTTCCGATAATAAGGGTGCCAGTAGCATTCTGATTAAACGTTTGTCCTGCCTTTCCTCTAAGCCTCGAGCATCTGCCAGAACCTCTCGTTAAAAAATCCCATATTTGCCACAATAACATAGGGACCTTTTAAATAAGAAATAAATAACAATTCAGGTAATACAAGGCCAGAGAAAGACAGTACTGACCTTGCGCGTCATGGAGTGTGGGAACGTTTGTATACCTAGAGCTGGAATGTCGAGATGAGTGTTCCCCAAGGGCTATAAGGGTCACATGTGTGTTGTCATGAGGGACACACAAGACAACTAACTGAAGCCATGCAATAAAATGCATTACTTGTAAATCGTGGCATGTTTGACATGTCTGCTATAGAGCACATTTGCATAATCCATCGCGCAATTTTTTCAGGGATTTTTTGATACTATTCACTAAGGAGGCCAGTTGGAACCAAGCTTCACTAGATCAGTTCACTGAGTAGTACTGCTTGTCCTATCTCATTCACTTGCAATTTTTTTTTTTTTTTTACTTGTTGCGGTTGTTAATACTAAAGTTTGATAATTGTACCATTCAGCAGACATACCCAACATTCTTCCTGGCAAATGGTGAAGAGATTTAGCCTTACAAAGTAGTTTCGTATGACGTACCTTTATCTCTGTTCGTTGACAACTAATGTTCATTTCATTTACAACAAATGTGCCTTAGCCTTGTAATGCCGACTTTTGCGTGAACAGCTGTGAAGTATATATTGGTCGACAAATGCAGAAAGGTAGTGCGAGTTCTCAAATCGTTTAAGGATCAATATATTACCCACCTTCTAGAACCTTCTATATAAGACTTCCTCTGCTCATCACATCAACATCTATAGTTTATGGGTTATAATTTTAGTTTTATAATTATATTCATCTGCAGACGATTTGGTGTACCATTATTTCGACAACGAGCTGTTTAGAAAGCAATGACAAACTAATGAAAATGGTATTGCTCGTTACTGGCTTTATGTAAAGATAACTATTATAACAGCTACCTTACATACTCTGATGATTCAATATTATTAGTGGGGGAAGGACAGGGCATAAAGAATACTTGAAACAAGCAAATGGACGCAGCGTCCAGTATGAAGTAGATATTAGTGCAAAAAGCTATAAAGAAATTGAATTACCAATTTGAACGACAAATTAACAATAGAACATGAAGTAGATATTAGTGCAAAAAAAAGCTATAAAGTAATTGAATTACCAGTTTACACGACAAATTAACAATAAAACATATTATTAAACTGGGAGATACTAGAATATGTAACAGTTTAATCAGATCGTCATAAAACAGTTACAGGAAAATAAGCATTGTACTGCAAATTAGAAATATTAAAATTTTACATATAGGATGCTTGAGAAAGACTGCGCTCAAAACCAGAATGACATCGTATGAAGAATTAGGAGAGTCGGAAAAAAAATACTGCAACAAAACCACTCGATAAATTCATTCAGAAACAAAGACTGACATGGTTTGGCCACATGATTAGGATAAATGTAACAATGCCAGCAGCGACAACTTACAACATGAGAATGTAAACATCAAAGGCAGTGGGATACTAGAAAAAAAATAGATTAAAGCAATCGCTAATATCCAAAGACCTCCATGTCATCCTTGTTATAAATATGTATCAGGCTGTAAAAGGTGACGACGGACTAGGTGATATTGTCCAGATCACCAGTTGTATGGCCAGTGCTCTATAAAGAAATATATATATTAGGGCTGTACCGAATATTCGCTTCGTATTCGCTTCGGGGCCGAATAGTAGACCGAATGACTATTCGGCCGAATAGTTGCGGTCAGGCCGAATACGAATAGTGGTTACCTTACACTCAATTCTGCATACACTGCGATGGACTGAAATAATTCTCTCATTAACTCAATAGTTGCTGTTGCCTAAGTTTGTAGTAGCGGGAAAACTGCGACCCGGTTGCGTGGTACAGCAGCTGGCAAGTTCTTGCCTGCTGACTCGACCGAAGCATTACAGCAAAGGTTTTCAAACTGGGTGCGTATACCAGGGGTGCCGGGGCTAAAATCGAGAAAAGTCGGCTATAAATTGTAACAATATTAAAGAAGACATAAAAATACTTGAGATACTTTCCTCACCGCTGTCGAAAAGAGCACAGGCGACAGGCAATACTTGAATTTTTTTTTAATGAAGAACATCTTATGCAATATATCTTTGCCATTGAAGGTTAGAAAAATGATTCTTACTTGCTACTATTTTTCTCCTATTTTTCCAGTTTTAACATATGGTTGTAAGTCCTGGACAATCGGAAGGCAGGCCAAACAATTTCTCTAGGCTTCAGAGATGTAGTTTTACAGAACAATGCTTAAAATATCTTGAACAGTAAAAAAAAAAAGCAACCAATAGGTTTTGAAAGAGGCGGAAGCCCGAAGACAACTAATCACAGACATCAGAAGGAGACAGTCATCATTTTTCGGCCCTGTTATGAAAAGAGGGAAAATGGAACACGTGGTGACCACTAGAAAGATCTGTGGAAGGAGGGATAGAGAAAGACAACGAGAGAACATTCTTGACAGTTTTGTTGCATGGCATGGAGGTGTGTCAGCACACGAACTGATACATGCTGCAGCAGATCGCAGATTGTGGCGAGGCCTAATCGCCCACGTCGGTCGGAAAGGCACCTGATGATGATTATGATGATGTACTATTCGTATTCGAATTCGTATTCCGCAGAAAAGTTGGTCCCACTATTAGTGTTCGGCCGAATAGTGAAAATCACTAGTCGGTACAGCCCTAATATATATGTATCCAAAGTTAGGTGATAAGAAATATGAAGCGCTATAAGCCAAGTTAACATTCAGAACTGAGTGAACGTCAAACTTAAAGAGCGCTCAACTATGTTGAGACAGGTCGCGTTAGAAATCTGTTAAGGTCATCCTCCACTGTGAAGACGGCACCTGGCTGATGTTGACACTAACATGTACCTTAACGCAATGTGTTATTTGCTTCAAACATTAGGATCTTTGTTAGTCACTCCAAAATCAGTTTCGGGAAGAACAGTGAATATCACGCTGAGCATCAACATTAACAAATCTATTCAAGCAACTTTTCTTTAGGCTCCTGGAAATGGGCTTGCTTGCAAATACGAATCAATATAGTCAAGTACAATTTACGCATAAAATTTCTCTGTGAACCGAAATTTTCGGCTTGGTGACTATCAAAATATCCCTTTACAACTAGCTGCCTAGTGGTACTGATTGCAGCATGTCTTGGACAAACGCAGTCATTCCTTTCTTTCATTCGGTGAAATGTGCCCGCATGGGGAGATTTTCTCGCATTGAATTGACTCCTCGTTTAGGATGAAAAGTAACAGATGGTGACTTGTTATAAAACGTGTTCTGTGAACATATGTGTATATAATATGGAACGACTGGTGAGTGACATTGGCTGTGTGTCAGCAGAAACAGCAAGGTGCGACCTTTCCGGGCTATCTTGTGTCTTGTGACCATGTCTGGCTGGAGGTGGCTGTATTGCATGGTGTAACTTGAGATGTGTTTAGTGATGACCTAGAATTTCCAGTAGATGCCTGCTAATTGAGAGAAGGCTACTTCATAGGTTTGTCACTTAGAGCTGATTATACATCAGCAGTCTCTGTTTCAGCTTAGCTACTACCATCACCCCAATGACCGCCTTTGTTACCTTGTATAATGACATCATTGACATGATTTCGGAGGACAAACATCTACAAAAGTGGATACTGAGATATTTAAGGTCTAAGAATCTCTCAGTGTCATCTTCCCACTTGCTTTCAATGGACGTGCACATCTTTATAATAGTGGTTTTGCGAAAGCTGTGTCACGTCACTGTAGTCTTAACTCGGTTTACTCTGGTCCCTGATTTGTCACACCATCTGGTCAGTGTGTCAAGTCTCTTCATCAGTGCTTTGTTTGTCTCCTCTCTGTGACAACAGTGACCCATGAGGTAGCCCTGGTACGATTGTTCAACGATTATCCGCATCGCAGCACTATCGTTCTTTAAAAAAAGAGCGGTGTTGATCCAGATTAATAATGCTTGATCAATATCCATGTTTAACAACATCATAAGTAGTCATACTGTAACTCACACTTTGATACAAATTGCAATTACTACTTCACATTTCAAAGACAATGAATGACGTGTGTGTGTGTTTTTTTTTTAATAAACTACAAACTAACCCTACTATCCCCAACAGACGTGGTGTGTCTAGCAGGACAATACGGAAGAGAATGTCAGAACAGCTGCATATGCCCTAAGGATAGGAACAACTGTTTTGTCAGTACTGGAGGATGTCCTTCAGGTTGTGCTGCCGGCTACCAAGGGGAAGGATGTCAGACTAGTAAGGATCTAACAAGTTTTATATCTCATGGTTTATAAACATAATTGCTGATATTCAAGAGCATATTTTTAGCATGGTTATATCAATGTGTAATGTTTAATTTCACGAAATTAAATACTGGCTTTTTACACTAACACACAAAACAAAAAACAAAAACAAACTACGCTTTAAGTTTTTTATGAAATTGTGAAAGAAATTGCCTCACGAAGAGAACCCGATAGCCCACATCAGAAGAATTTACATTTTTTTGACCTTTCATTAGAAATATGAAACATGTGCATTGTGACAGGATGTGGCGGGTAAATTCGCTTTACTCTAGCGACTGCACTATGTGCAATTTACAGAGGGAACTACAAACAGTGAAACTTCATAGTCTTATACTAACCCCAGCCTTGCTGGTTAAATGAGAGGATTCGGGGTTTGCCCACATCTGATTCCCTACTGTTATTAAATTTGTATATTTAAATGTTCTCAAGTTCACTGACAAATAATTACAGTTAAAATAACTCCATAACACTGAAGGATACATTACCAACTGTACATTTATTTGGAAAATTCTAGCTAATATTTAAATTGGCTGTGGAGATAAAATCCTGTTATACAAGGTAGGTTAGTAGACAAATCTGTCCACTTAGCTGTAGCTTAGGTTTTGTTTTGGTCAGCTTCTGACTAAGCTTTGGAAACACATCAGGCAGGCCGAATCTTCCAGTCCAGTCCAGACAATCGGGCATCTGCAGCTACGCTGGGATTTACTTATGGAACTCCCACCTGGAACTAACCTCTGGAACTAGAACAATAGAACAGTCCTTATACAAACAGTCAGGAAGGTTCTAACTGGAGACAACAATACCTTCAGTCTTTAAACTGTTACACTACACACATATATATGGAGTAGGACAGTAACAGGTGTTCACATTCTACTGGTATAGAATGGGAATGTATACAGAACATGGTCCATAATCCTGATGGAGAAATATTTAGGAAACCAGTTTCATGAATACTCTCAAGAACAAGAGTTTACATCACACAATAAGAAAGGACATTCCTCGGTGTAAATTGTTCTGATGTCTGTACACTAGTACTCCTTTGAAGGGTTAACATGCTTACACACACCCACATACACAGTCATATTTCACAAAATTCTCATTTTAAGCACATGGGTTCACATCACAAAGAATGAGAAACAGGGAGTGAGTTTACCAAGGCCAGAAACTCATAACAGGTGCTTTGCACTGTTTGAAAATAAATGGGATTGACATATCTCCATCAATATACTGGATGCTGGGATAGATGTCACAATACAATCATAGATGACAATGGGCTTTCCATCTGTCACAGTATTAACATAAAATATACAACACTCACTCCAGTTTAAATCTAAATCCACACATGTGCTAAATCTTATTCAGTAGAGTTTAAAAGTTGAAAAGGGTGAAATATAATTATTACAATCGTAAGGCAACCTGCTGTAGAACTAAAATGTATTCCTAGTAATAAGGAAATATATCTACAACAATAATAATTACACGCATGGGCCATACATCTCTCTTCTTCTTCTTCTCTGACAGTGTGAATATTAAATTCAGCCCCACTGTGTTATTCACTTTTCAAGCTCTTAAACCAGTCTCAGAATTATCTGGACTAAATATAAATTAAAGCAAGACAGTGATTTATCAAGCTAACATCCCCATGAGGTGAAATAAACTTAGTAGGGATTAGGTATAATGAATATACACTTCATTCCTTTTTTAATTGTCCCACTATGCTGGAAACCGGAACTGGCCAAGATTTTACATGAGGACATAATCCTCACCTAATTAATATAATTATAATAATTAAAAATACCAATGCACGTTTTTAGTATCAAATAAACATTAATTCAATCATCAAAGAGATCATATGTTTGCATACATGTACATACTAGATCATAAACATGGTTAGTAAGGATAAAGAAATTTATCATGTTTTTTAAGCCATGTGGGCATCAAATTTCAGAATTCAGCAGATAAAATTATTTCAGAGGAATAGTAGCAATAGATCATATTACACTAATTTTATTCACTCACCCCTGGTAGGGAATTCAAACAGAAAATTGGACGCGGGCTGACTACCCAACTTTTAGTCTGTGCTGGTGAATTTCTGATTTGAAAAAGGAAATAGGAAGTCCGAGAAAGGAGGAAGTAACTCTTGAGTTACCCCTTGCCTACTCTTCGCCTTTTATTCTTTTCAACTCTTAATTAATGAAATAATAATATTGCTATAATAAAGCAATAAGTGAAAGGTCAGTAAATTTAATAATTTTATTACTTAATTATAATTAAAGACTTAAAGGGACAGAAACAGCTGTCCAGACCAGCTCGTCACACCGGGGGAGGGGGGGGGTGCGCTGAGGAAAGAGGCAGAGGAAGACAAGAAATAAGATGCTAGACACCCAGACATGATAGCATGGAAGATCATCTCTGTCCGAAATTATTGAAAGTACACGAGACACAAGGTTTTGGATTACATGACTACTAACGCCACACAACGTGGACTATGAGAAGTTGGAAGGAATAGTCAGTGTTCCAGCCTTGGGTGTGTGACGTTGGCTATTTCCATTCGCTCTGAAGAACAATATCTGTAATATCATCAATAAATATTCTACTTGGATCTCTTCTTGTCCGGGTGTCATGTCTTCTTAGATGTAGAGCTGGTATTTATTAAATGATTTCGTTGTGTTCTAAAGATATGCCTAAAACATTAGATTCTGTGATAAGGGTTGGGGGTGGTCTTCTTCCTACAGTCTAGCCAATATTAAAATTTCTTACTCGGTCTCGAGTAGTCAGTTTGACGGATTTGTTCTCAAGAATCCTTTCATAAATCTCAACACGTGTACAATGCTAGCTGGTCTAAGAGATCAATCCTTAAATGATGCCTAGAGATTGAACTATTTGCTGCACATTGTGGGATTACCAGATATTGGTTTATGTGGCAAAATACAGCCCTGAGAGGTTTGTCCATTTTAAGTTGTATCTAGCGTCTGATTGTCAAGACAGCTGTAGAAAATTCAGCCAGCCTTATTGGTGTACATGGGTGATCTTTGGAACATCCAAGACAGGAAAATATTCCCAGGAATAATTCAGTGCCACCCATCCCACACTTCCAATAGAAAGTGGTAGTAAATGTAGACTGTCAGTGTGCAGACAAATAAACAATCAAAACATTCAGAGACTGACTGGAATAAGTACTTAACATGTTGTTTGCCTATGACTGTTTAGACAATTTAAAAAAAAAAAAAAAAAACATTCGTCGTCACCTTTTACAGCCTGATACATATTTATAACAAGGATGGCCTGGAGGTCTTTGGATATTAGCGATTGCTTTAATCTTTTTTTTTTCTAGTATCCCACTGCCTTTTGATGTTTACATTCTCATGTTGTAAATTGTCGCTGCTGGCATTGTTACATTCATCCTAACCATGTGGCCAAACCATGTTTTTATAATATAGCTTGTGGTCAAACATACTTCGGAGTTGACTGCTCACAGAAATGCAGCACTAACTGTACTGGCCAGCTCTGTCAACCAACTAACGGAACCTGCCTGTCTTGTCAGTCAGGAAAACAGGGACCACTCTGTGACACAGGTACGCTGTGTAATGTAAATTATTTGTAAGTTTTCTTATTTAAAAAAAAAAAAATAGAACTACTTTATATAATGTCCCTTAATGTAAATTCATAACACATGGCCATGGCTTTTTTACAGAACGTTAAGTGTAAAGGTCCCTTTTCAAGCTATTTGCGCATAAAGTTATATTGGTAGCTAGCCTCGTATTTATTGTATGTTTATTCACCAGTCGATATTCGATGTTTAACATCGCATGGGTTGCATTTACCTCCTAGGTTATTTCTTGTTACATTTTCATTTTCTTCTGTTTTTTTTTTTTTTTTTTATCCATCTCTTCCTCCTCCAGTGTCAAGCCCGGAAAAGATGTCAGTGACAATGGCTTTTCAATTAAAACAAAATATGAAATCGTATTTAGACTCAAAAAAAATTTTTATTACGACAGTTTTGTTACCATGAAATTCAAAATGCTACAAACATCTTGTTTTGTCTTCCTTTGCCGCATCTGACTAATATAGAATTATTCTGATTTCTCCTATAGAAACAGTTGTATGTGTATTAATTTGAGCACTGTGTATTTTTATAAGTCCATTCCTATTTCTGTCATCATTCTTGTGTTTGTCTACTTCACTACTGAGCTATAGTAAGAACTCATCCTCCCCCCCCCCCCCACACTTCTACAAATATCTCGAAAACTCCTGTACTGATCAACACGAATGTGTGCATGTGGCCTTAGATTCACCATATCCTTAAAATAGGTACCAGCTAATATCTTAGGAAGTAAATGCAGTAGGCACCATGATGACCAAATCGCCCATCAAGTGACCATTGGTCTAAAGTATCAATCTAGCATGATATACCCGACATAAAGAGTCATTTAATTAAATGTCTTTTTTTTTTTATGATGCGGGAAATGTTTTACAGGAGACTTTCATCGCAAAGTGTTTGATATTAAACAAATATAATGCAATTTTTTTTTTCTTTAAACACAACTTTAAAGTTACTGTTTTCTATTTCTACTGGTAGACTGTGATGCAAAATTGTGGGGAGATAACTGTACCATGTCATGCAGCGTTGACTGTAAGGACCAGTTATGTAACCCTGTTAACGGAGCTTGCTTTTCTTGTGTTGCTGGCAAATCTGGGGATAACTGCAGCAAAGGTACTTCTTTTGTGAAATATTTTATAAGTTATCAAAATCACCAGTGTGTTTGAGAGAGAAAGTGAGAGGTGGGGGAGGTCTGGGTTGTAGAGAGAAAGTACACTTGTTCATGTTTATGGGAGAGAGTATGAACACATGTCCATTTGTGTGTAGGAGAGAAAGAGAGATAGTGTGTGTTTGTGTGTGTGTGTGAGTGTGCGTATGCGTGTGTGCGTATGCGTGCGCGCGTGTGTGTAGGTGGGTGTGTGCGGGTGTGTGTGCGTGTGTGTGTGTTCCCCTGCACACAAGCCCTTGTCAATTAGCCCCGTAAATCCTTCAGTACAAAATGTATTAACACACAAAATATGAGACTGAAGCCGTTAACGTTGGACATCCTATGAAATATTCCGTTCTCGTTGGTTCAAAGTGAATCAAGTAAGTCTACTTCTTCTGCTTCGCTCATAAAAGAGAGTTTGCAAGTTTATATTTTGTAGTTTTGAGCTATGCTGTGATGTCTTCACTTTTCAAAACTTTCCAACGTGCTTGTTAAGGAACAATAGTATGCTGCCATGGTGAAACTACAAGAAGACCGACTGGACAATGTTCAATCACCGTACCAGTATACTGCTTGTAAGTCTCAGCGTAGACCAAGATGTAAAGAAAGTAGTTAAAGAATTTAACAAATGCATACTACATGCAGCAGGAGAATCAATACCAAGAGGTGCCCGTAAGCATTATAAGCCATACTGGTGTAGTGAGCTAGAAAAGTTACATAACGAAGTAGCAACATCCAGAAAGATAGAAGAGACCAGGCCAAACCAAGAACATCACAATAACTACCAGCATGCAAAAGCAAATGTGACACAGTCGTCTCTTTTGCTGCCTATGCTTCATCAAATGACCCAGGTTCTGTATGGTTTTGTGTCAAGGGTGGCGGGTGATTGTTGATAGACGAGTAGAAAGATGGTCGTGTCGATAGTGGAGTTGGTGATGCTTGCAAAATAAAGTGTCTGAATACAACTGTTCAGGATCCACTGAATTTATTGTTACACTCCAACATATGTCACAGATACATCAAAAGATACTCTGAAGAATGCTGAATCATCTAAGTACTCATAGAATCGCGTTGTGTTCTTTATCTCTAATTACTTTGTAATTCTGGTGCTATAGTCTTTGACTGCCACCGGGCTACTAGTGCAGGTTGAGCTAAAAGGTTTTCATCTAATACCGTCTATCTACTTATCTATGCTCTCTTCCCTGCTTAATTGGCCGGTGCCTGTCTCTTGTTCTCCTCACTCCGTCTCTAGCCTGTCCTTCGTCTGTTCTTTGCTGTCCTCTGTTGTCCTCTTTCTTCTGCCTCAGTTTATCTCCGTTTGCGTCTTGTCTCTTCTCTATCTGTGTCTATCCTCTGTCTGTCCCCGACTATCCTCTGGCCTGTCTGTTTATCCTCTGGCCTGCCTCCGTCTGTGTATGTGTCCTCTGTGTGTCTGTGTGCCTTCTGTCTCTCCTCGACTATCCTCTGGCCTGTCCGTCTCGTGTGTCTGTGTGTCCTGGCTGTCTGTCTCTAAGGCTCCGGGCAATCGTTTATAAAGGGGTTACTAGCCTGCTCCCAGGGGGCTCCTATCCCTAGTTGTTTTGCAGATTTCTGCAGCCACCTGAGTTGGCTGGGACATAGGTATTCAGGCTAATAGCTTTGGTGCTGACGAGAGTCACATGTCTAGTCAGAAGACTCAAAGTACGTGGGAAACAAGAGTAGGGACCTAGGGGGATATAGTTGCTTACTAATGGAAAGTTTTCAAAAAAACAAGGGTGAAGGCTATAAGGGGTCTTGTGCAAACAGCACAATACTAATAAAAAGGGGGGGGGGGTAGGGGTACTGACCCTGCTACACAAAATTTCTAAGGGCAAAGCTGCAGGTTAGAAGATAAAGCTGGCAGGAGAAAACAATTTCGCTGAACTTTGAAAAAGACACAAGAAAGTTATGGAAGCTTGTGAAACAAATTAATGAACAGGACACACGGTGGAACTCAAAGATCACGCTGCAGAAAAATAGAAACATGGTTACAGGAAAAGAGGCAGCCAACTTTTGCTTTAGATAGCGACACTGAAATCAGTTCAGAGAAAAAACACGAAATTCAAGAAAAGACACTATTCAGAAGTCAGAAAGAAATAACATTAGAGGCGCTAGAGGTGCCAATTACACTTAACGAACTGGAACAATGACCAAAACAAAGCTTTTACAGATATTTAATGCTTGCTGGGCAACAGGGAATGTTCCACAGATCTGGAGAGAGGCAATTATGATACCTCTCATAAAGCCTGGGAAAGACAGTTCTTATGCCTCCAACTACAGACCGATCAGCCTCACAAGCTGTCTCTGCAAAACAATGGAGCGCATCACCAACCTCAGACTACAGTGGTACATTGAAAGTGAAAATATTACACCACAGCAAGCGGGCTTTAGAAAATTTTACTCTACGGAAGACCAGACAACATACCTCTCCCAAGAAATAGAGGATGCTTTTCAAGATAAGAAACTGGTACTCGCGGCATGGATAGATTTAAGGAACGCTTTTGACAAGGTTTGGAAGGAGGGGCTTTTGAAGAAATTGAGAAACTAAGATAAATGGAAAAATGTACAATTGGATTAAAGCATATCTACATAACAGAAGAGCCCGAGTACAGGTAGATGGTTTCAAAAGTAAAAAAGTTCTACTGCGACAAGGCGTCCTTCAAGGTGGTGTCCTGTCTTCCACACTTCTCCTCTTATTTATCAACGATCTGGTTGCGGAGATACCAAATGGAATCAATATGGCAATGTATGCCGACGACCTGGTACTATGATGCACCAATGAACATGCAACAATAGCCACAAGAACACTACAGCGGGCTACAAATGCACTTGAGGCATGGGCGAATAAACGGTGTGTCAGCATTAACACAGACAAATGTAGCACCACACTCTTCACCCTCTCCCCAAAGCACACCAAAAAAAAAAGGAACAATAGATTTATTCTCTCCCAACCCGGCTAAATGGGGCGCTAGACGCCACATCAAAAAGACAATTACAGTAAACTGCAGCGTACAAGTCAACCTGACGCAGAAGTCGACCTGCTGATTCTCAGCATGCAAAAAATAGATGTTGTGCCTGTACCTATCGTATGTATGTGTGTGTGTGTGTGTGTGTGTGTGTGTGTGTGTGTGTGTGTGTGTGTGTGTGTGTGTACCAGCCTTTCTTGCATCAAACTTTCCTTTGAAACAACTACTTAGGGAACGATAAAAATATCTTAGAAACGCTAGAACAGTTGAATGTCTTTGAAAATTTCCTGAAGGCCACTCCGACTGACAGGATGCCCGTTGTTATTAGGACTTCGGAGGACACACATAATATATTCTATGAACTGTTGTGTTGTCCAACATATGCTTCTAATTATGTGTAGTCCCTCTGCAACAAACAGAGCCAGTCAATTGTGTAATTAGGTTTTTTTTTTTTTTTAATATAGGTCAGAAGTTATCTACAAATAGTGAAATGTTGAAGCTAATTATCTCGCTGTTCTAAATGTTAAATATTACCGCTCTTGTTGTCCAGCATGCCCTTTCCCGACGTTTGGTGAACATTGCAACAATACATGCAGCAAAAACTGCTCAGGCCAGTCATGTGACTCTGTTAATGGAAAATGTGTATCATGTGTGCAAGGGTCCATCGGTGAATATTGCGATCACAGTATGTATATCACACTTTCATTATAATGTATTATATAGCTAAATGTCTCAGCTGTAAATTAAAAGAGATTTTGACAATTTTCTTCCGGCCAGAAAAAAAAATCATAGTTAGCAATCAGATCCTTTGCTCTTGTCACGGCACGCCTGAAAGTCTTTTTTCTATCCAATTCTCCAGCCTTATGTGACTTCAAACTCAATGCATCTTTAATGTATTAGAGGTCTTCCTCTGTCTAATTTTCCGGAAGCTGTACTCTCTATCACCGTTCTCTCCAGGCCACTCTAGCGCTTACTTAATATGACGAAAATAGATAAACGATAGAGATCTGACGCTGTTGATGATGTGATTCTCCTCGATGATCAGATCAGGTATGATGTCGTTGTTTTTTCGTCTCCTTGGCTCATGATATTCAAAGAATCTTTCAGTAGAATTTCAGTTCAAAACGCTTCTATTTTTGTCTTCAGTCATTGAGTTTGTTTTAGTATCCAGAAGCCATGAGTTGTTAACCCTTAGGCTCGGTATTATGGATATCGCAACATTTCATCCTTGATTCCATTGTAAATACCGTAAAACTGGGAGAAATGTGGCTTTTATGCCTACCCCCAGGATTGAACCCGGACCACAAGGAGTTTGTCACCCGGTCTCCGCGCAATCCGGTTTAGCCAACTACGCTAGAGAGCCGGGCGTCTTCAGTCACTGAGTAAAAGTGGTGTAGTGAATCTCCTTTTCTCCTAGATAAATTATGTCTTAGACGGAATGACGTCAGTAATAAATGTGAGTGGAATATTTTGAGTCTAACTGGGACAGCACGTGAGTTGTAGAGAAAGGCTGACAGTCAAACTTCACGTGAAGTATAATTATTCACGTGTAGAGAAATGCTGACAGTCAAACTTCACGTGTAGTATAATTATTGACGGAGGTCACACAAAAACTGCTGGCCAAATGTAATTCGTGTAAATTCAAGTGGCAATAGGAACGATGCAGGATTTCACTTGTTTTTCTTCAACTCGCAAGCAGGTGTTGTTTCATAGTCTCTTCATGATGTTTATTCTCTGCATTGCTAATGATGTCCGTTTCTGAATTCTTTTGTGCAGTCGCCCTTGTTGTTTACTGCTGACCCTAAATATTAAAAATCTGTGACAGTTTTGATCCAGTAAGTAAGTAAGTTTTACCCCACTAGGATATCACACAGAGTGACAAACATCAGGTGACACAAAGTGTCACCATTTGGATGAGAATCAGCCGCGGAGAGATCAAGGAAACCCCGTTCAACCGTTAGGTTGTATTGGAGCCACCGGTAACAGCTAGGGTGGGGCTTTAAATTAACGAAAAATTACCTCCCACAAGGCGATGACGATTATAACCCACTTTTGACCTCTCCATTATCGATTCTAATGCATGGTTGGTATTCAGTACTTACTGTGGACATAACCCTTTTTTTTCTTATTCGCTGTGCTTTTTACCTGACAGTTTTAATTCGTGTAAGCCTTGTACTCTGTTGCAAAGAACTGTCTCGTCTGCATATCTGAGTTCTGGAAAAAGTTTTAGAGAAAAATATGGGACCGTTTAATCAGGTTTCAGCTAGCACCATCAGTATGGGAACTCTTCGTTAGCTATCCAAAAGGGGGACGGAGCACGCAAGGGAATGACCGAGTGCAGGATTGTAATTTGTGGTTGTGAATTTGTAGCCATCACCCTACTAGCTTGTGATGAATTGGGGATTATTTATCTTCGTTTACATCTGGCCATCCTCAACTGTTTTCAGCAAGTAAATTAACAACACGGCCATATTCTAGTAGACTGTGTGTATCTTACCTAGAGACAACAGGTATAAGAAAAAGAAGATGGCACTATATTGGAAAAATTCTGAGAAAAAGGCAGAGTATCACCAAACAGGCATTATCATGGCAAACATGGGGATTTTGGATGCGAATACATCCAATCCATACAATTAACATTGATGAGAGAGCCCGAAAGCGCTAGACTGGACTCCATTCATGATATTGAACTGGTTGCACATGATAGAACGGAATTTAGGAAACCGACTGCGTGCCTTATGTGACATGTAATGGCACAAAATGAAATGATGATTATGATGATGAACGTATCTCAATTATTTATTCAAATGGAATGCTGCGTCATATGAGATCAGGACTTTGATAGTGGGTTTTTTTTTTTTTTTTTGTAGGTAGGTATATTTTAAATAATGCGAACTCCATTATTACATTTGAACAATTTATTGCCTGGTAAATTCCTCTGTATCTCAGCAATCCAGTTTATTACAACAGTGCTACATCAACAAATAATAAAGCATGACTACTGAATTATATTCGCTCACTTAGACAAATCGACTCAATTTTACCTTTTAACTATATGTAGTAGTTATATGAAGATCTGGTAGGTACTTAATGGTCTCGCTTAATTCAGCGAATTAATATGTCAGTACATATCATATTGACATCTTAAAAGATCTGAACATCAAGGAAGATTGGCTAATAAACAGCATCCTTTCTCGAAAGCTGAAATATTTTGGTCATATCAAGCGCCACGACGGATTGGAAAAATTTATAGCAGAAGGCATGGTACCAGGAAGGAGGGGCAGGGGCCGACCGACACGAAGATGGGCACAGGATATAAGTGACTCCTTGAGTGTGAAAGTTCATGAGGCGGGAGAACTGGCAAGAGACCGAGTTTCTTACAGGCAGACTGTGATGAGAGCGACGTTCTGCAAGGGACATGCTACATGATGATGACATATCATGCTACACAGCATTGACTTTAACAACAACACTTTCTATCCTGTGTTATTTCCTGTTTCCCCCAGTGATGCTAGTAAATCAAGCGGATGATTCTCCACCTGTAGCTGCAATAGTGGGGCCAGTGGTTGCTTTTGTTGTACTGGTTGCACTGATTGTTATTGGTGTGCTAATCTGGAGGTAAGTGGATCAACACGTATTGGACCTTGTTAATGCTGTAAGGATTTTTTGGCGTAGTTTTTAATGCTAGACTGTATTTCAAGCAGCATTCGACTGATCATGTGATCAATAGATTGCCACCTACATTTACTTATAAAATATGTTCCGGTACCAAGTGTATTTTGGATTGACCTGGGAGTACTGTTTGACTTGTTATTTAAAAACACATATTTGGCGACATTGGCTTACTAAATCTACACATTTACGGAACTCAGTCGCAGCCCTGCATGCTGATGATGATATTCTTGCCACATTTTATATATATATATATATATATATATATATATATATATATATATATATATATATATATATATATATATATTTATATATATGTGTGTGTGTGTGTGTGTGTGTGTGTGTGTGTGGTTCTGTGTTAGAGTTTAGAAAACAACCTAAATTGTTTCCTAGTGTTTTAAAACATGTATACCTAGGTTCATAATCCTGAGGTGCATCCCTAACATGTTCAAAGGTCCTTTCTGTTTTTTTTTTAAAAACATCTCTTTGTTTTTACATATATTCGCTACTCTTTTGAGCCTTTTGTACTCCTATAGGGCTCGCAGTAAATTCCTCCATGCCCTTCTAAACTGAGCAGTTCTTTCGATACCATAAATGTACTTCAGTCGCTCACTGAACTTCCTCAAGATATTTTGTCTTCGGATTTCTCTTCATTTCTTCAGTCCATGCGTTTCTTATTTTAGTCTCTGTTTATTGATTCTCTGTCTACCACCTCTCTTAATGTGCCTATTATAGTGTGAGATTTTTTAAAATAAATATTGATATCAACGGTTCTCATGGCATGTTTCTGAATTATTCGTGTTTCGGGAATCAATCTCCTTTAATGTTCAGCAGTTTTTTCAAGCATTTGCTTTCAATTACATTTAAAACTCTTTCTAATGCGTTGGTGGTTTTCCAGCTTTCGCTGGTTTATGTAAGAAGTGAAATAACTTCTTCTTCTTCAGCATTCCGAGCCCTTGAGGCTGATTGCTGCAGATACCACCTGCCTCCATTCATTCTCTGGTTGGCCTTCTTTTTCCACTTGGTGACACTATGTGTTTTCAGGTATGTCTGCACATTATCTCTCCACCGTCTTCATGATCTACGACCATTCAGCTCCCTTGTGTGTACAGTTTTTACCTCTCTGTCATCTGACATTCTCTTAATATGCCCCAGCCATTTCAGTCTATTAGCTCTTATTATGCCAGTAATCAATGGTGATTTAAACAGATTACGAATTTCGTTGTTGCTTTTCACTCTCCATTCCCCTCTGTGAAATAACGCTGTGATTAAAAAAGTATATGTATTTTAATGTGTACGTTGATCCGATAATGCTCTATAAATTCAGGAAATAAGCTTCGCATTTATCAGTTTAATTATTGCCTCAATTAAATTAAAATTTCTGTTTACATTATAGTTATAAGTCATTATCTTATAGTTTTTAAACATTAATAAGGAAACATTTTTTGGGAATATTTTCATGACTAAAGTAAAGCAATCGACACTTATACCCCTACATAAACATCTTAGAATATATTCCAATGTGTTTTTTAATGTACAGGAGACGGAGCCACAAAAAGGATGTCCCTGAGACAACACTTCCACACAGATCTCAGAACTATTCTGAAATTGACAATATTCGAACGGGGCTATCAACTGCTTTGACGACGACACCAGACGAAATTGTGACCGGGCAAACAAAATCAAAACCTTCCGGTGGGTATTGTGAAGCTGGCACATAAACAACATGACATAATGACATCTAATATTTTATTGTGTTAATGGCACGTAATATTTTATGCATGTTCAACATTTTTGTATGTTTCTGATTCATATACATTTGTGTTTTTGTTGAGCTGAGATTAGGAAATGACAAAGCAGCATTTGAGGCATTCCTATAGGCGATCCGTTCCTATCCTCAATGGCCAGTGTAATGTTTTAATACTTCAAACTAAATATATGTTTACCTTGATTTTCCTCAGATGTTCATTCGCCCGATCTCTTGGTAACTCCTCGTTCCTAATTATTTTCTAATCTCTTCGCTCTTCCTAATTGTTCCTATGCTACCAGTGGCCTCTGTCATATTTGAAAAGTATAGCACCAGTTCACATCAAGTCAAACCGAGGCAGATGATCTATATGCGCATTCTTTTTCTGGCCCTACAGTATGGCTTGGAGAAAAGAGTCAGGGGAAAAAAAAACTCAAGAGATCTATTTTAGCACGCTGTATGTATACAAAATCGACCTCTTAACTACAGTATCGGGCCGCGCCTCATCTTAAAGAAATTTCTCATGTAGACTGTAGAGTCAGGAGTGTCTTCATCGTGTGGAAACCTCCTGTAGTCTACAGTGTCAGTAATCTTGTAGAAACACATCCTACAGACCGCAGAACCTCAGTGTTAATGTTCTTTCAGCTTCTGAAAAAAATCTTTAACAATCAGTATGATGACAAAAACACACAGAATAACTAATAAAGTCAAGAAAAGTAACAAGGAAAGTATAAAGAACCTTTTTTTAAGGTTCTTGTTACATGGGACAAATGATGTGTGTGTGCGTGCGTGTGTTTATGTGTGTGTATGTGTGTACACACTTTAAACGTACCTATGTAACCTGACTGCATTTTCTACATTTTTTTAAAAGTAATGAAGAAGCCAACCGGCAGCCGAGACATGGACAGCCAGGCAAACCATCTCAGGGGCAACTACTACAATCAGGTTCCAGGTCGCTGTAAAACAGCCATTAGATTTGACGAACTTGATAACTTTATGGCCACACACGGAAAGGAGTTCTTTCAGGAGCAGTTCAAGGTAAAATACTGTTACACCTTATGGGGTCTGTCAGTTAATTGGTTTAAAACCTGCGAACTCATATATATTTCTGCTTGAAATCGTTAAGTATAGAGTCTGTTGGGTTACAACGTTCCAAATTAACGCTGGTATTTTGAATCAGTTCTACTGATGACTGATATTCCACTATGCTATTGCTTCAGGCCGCCAAGCATTTAGTCTTGTGGTCTACCGCTGCCTCTTCTACCGTTGATCTTTCCAGTCGTCACGATGTTCCACAATGTCTCTCTTCTCATCACATGACCGAAGAACACTGATTGCCTCTTTCTCATAGATGTATATGTTTTCTAATTGTCTCAGCCATTTCGAGGTAGTCGTTGATAGTCAGTTTATCTGTCCGCTGTACCCGCAGCATGCGCCTTAGAAACTACATCTCCACGGTCTCTAAATTTGTTTAGTGACATTCCAAGAATCACTTCCACACAGTAGTATTCGTTCAATACTTTGCATCGAATGAGTTAATATAATAACTGTTTGTGTGTGTGTGTGTGTGTGTGTGTGTGTGTGTGAAAAAGAGAGAGAGAGAGAGTAAATATAATAGACTGTTTTACTAGGACTAATTATTAACTCATGGTAAACTTGCCTGGTGTCAAAAGATTAAAAAATGAAATATATTTATTGTGAATGGACAAATTCTCAGCCTCAGCCTAATACCAGTCATTATGTATTCTGAATCATGACCTATTTGCATCCTGGTTTGCTGATCAGCACATATCACGTTCTAGTATCACTCGTGCTTATTTTGTTGGGATTCTTAATTACAGAGAGTAATGAAGTGAAATAGGAAGGCTGAGAGAGGGGTTAAATGAAGAATGCATACATTTCAGACCACCATTAAGGCATGCTAATCCATCACTGGGTGGCATGACATAAATCGGTGATTAGAACGTTGGCCAGACAGGCCACACAGATAAACAGTAATCTTTGGAAAGTACGTAGGAACATCTGCACTGTGACCAGAGTTGAATTGAGTGCGGTTATCATGGTAAAACCATGACATCTGACAGTGAAGGATAAAAACGTACGAGAGAGAAATAGGTCGACGAGTGCCCGAAAGCAACGCGATGCACGTGTCCAACTGAAGATGATAACATGATGGATGCAGGGGGAGAGGGGTGATTGAGAACCCACGCGGATATAGAGTAGGAAGCGTGGAAATGAGGACGAGGAAGAGAGAGGGACAGTCAGGGCTAGGGCTTGAGAGAGCAGTGTAGACAGTTAGTAGCGAGCCGCTGAAGAGAGGAGTTTAGAAAACATTCGTGAGAAAATATGTTAAACTTGGAGTTTAGCTAGAAGAGTGATTAACGAACTCATAGAGAGATATACGGATAGCCAGTAATAAGATAATGAAGTGTTCCTATACTATTGGTTATTGAAATGATTCATTCTGTTTGACTTGACAATATTGTTAATAAACAAACTCCTGTGTAATTTTTACATCATTGGCCTTGTTGTTGAATACGATCCAAGAGAGCTACGAACTGTATCCATAACACACTGGAGATACAACTGTGTCACAGTAAGGACATCATCAGGTTAAGAGTAAAAGCTCTGCATGAACCTGGCTTCAAGTCTTTTTTCTTCCTTATAATGAACACAGAATCATCCAGTTAACAACAAAACTTCAAGAGGATTTAACACAACCAATCAGTTAACACGCTGTGGACAATTATTATTATTATCAACCAATAACATATACAGTAGCCGCTGTGGTCTAGCAGCTAGACGTTACATAAATGATAACACCACCTCCCCCCCCCCCTTCCTTCCCACACCTCACCCCCCCCCCCTTCCCCAATAGATCGAGGCCCAGACAAAAACAAAGGAAGGACGAAAGAAAAGAGAGCTGCTGAGAGAAATTTAAGAGAGAGAGAGGGGGGAAGGGAAAGAGAGAGAGAGATGTGATATATTTGCGCCATACTAAAAACTATAACACTATCTTTAGAGCCAAACTGTAAGGAATAGTCGAAGGCAAAAGAGCAGGGTGTAGACTTGTAGGTTACAAGCGGGAGGATAGCATTAAACTATGAACAAACATCAGTCTCGAAGAGTGTACAACAAGGACAAAAGACAGTTTGTTGAAAAAACATTGCAGTCGACCTTCTCTGTGGAAACAGCACAATATTGATTAATTGTTTGTCTTTTGAGTATTTAAACCATGTCACAGACTTAGAAACACACACTATCTGTTCTTTATTTATTATGTTATATCTCTGAAGCGAATTCCAGCAAACACCAGTGCAACAACAACGGTAGCCCTGAGTCCGGAAAATGTGAACAAAAACAGATACAAGAATATCAGTGCGTGTGAGTACATCGTGACAGTGTTGTTGAATAGTTGGATTTCTAGAATCCCTTCCAAAAGTAGTGCCCTCAGACTTTATCTCGAAAACTCCTGTACAGATCAACACGAATTTCGCATCTGTTATTAGATGCCCCATGTCTTTATGATTTTATAATAAACAATTGCACAGGTGCTACTGTTTTCTTAAAGCGGAGAATTTCTTTGATCTTTGTCGAACTTATCATATGTGTACCTCTAACCATGTACCTCTGACTGTATATTTATTAATTCTGGAGGTGAACATAATGTGCTTGGAGTAGAACTTCTAGTAATACGTTATTTGGAGAAAAACATTAATGGATTCTGGGCTCATAACTATAGAATGATGTAATCAAAATTAAAGCAAAACCTTTTGATATAGCAATTTTACATAAATTCTCACCAACAACAGACTATAATGATGGACAGGTTGAAGAATACTACGAAGACCTACAACAAACTCTAAATGTGATAAAATTATCACAAGTCTTAATAGTCATGAGAGGTATGAATGCAAAAGTAGGAAAACGGAACACAGGCTGACTGTAGGGGAATATTGCACTGGAACTAGGAATGACATATAGGCTGACACAGTTTTATGAGGAGAAACAGCTCATTATTTGTATACTTTCTTTTAACAACCATCTGAGAAGCTACACATGGACAATCCTAGAGATAGAAGTAGAAACAAAACTGATTATTTTATGATTAGAAACATATTTAGGAACAGTGTTGTAAATTCCAAATCATATCCTGGTGCCGACATAAACTATGATCTGAACCCTGTTATTATAAAAATGTACATAAGACGTTAAAATTATGGTCAAAAGGCATCAAGGAAACCTCAAATTAACATATGAGCATTGAAGCAACCAGGTATACGTAGGCAGTATTTGGGCAAAGTGCAAAATACAGATGACAAGTTAATAGTTAAAAATATGGAATTATATCAGCGTGAAAATCCAGAAGAAAAATTCAGTTTAAAATGGGATTGTTTTAAAAACTAGTATGCGAACTTACAAATGAAAGAAAGAAAGAAAAATAAAGTATGGATGACTCAAGAAATTATAAATAAAATAATACAAAGAAAAAAAAACACAGAAACATTCTCTTGTGTATGCAATAATAGACAAGGAAATATGTTTCAAATGCAGCGTCACTAAAGAGACATGGATTCACGAGAAATGTACAGAAATAAAAGAACTGAAAAATAAAAATAATACAAAAGAAGTGCATGGAACCGTAAGAAAACTCACAAACAGGAGAGCAAATTTAACAGGAAATGGTTACATCAGAGGAAATTATGGAGAAATTTTATTTGATAAAAATGATATAATCACAAGGAGGACCGAATACACAGATAATCTATTTTGGGACAACAGAGGTATCAAACCATAACTATTTAATATCAGAAGTGCTAACACCAACCTGTTGGACATTAGAAATGCAGTTCATCGTCGACGGTAGAAGAGGTAACCAGCAAATCAGTAGTTGCACATGCGATCAATTTTAATCACATAAGGGCACCACCAATATTGCAATGACAGGCCACGTGCCGTTTTCTTAATCTACAATTCACAACACCACGTTGGTCACAGTCGAAAAACATTCCAAATGAAATCTGCAGCTCACAGGGTCGCACAATGCATGCAACTCAGTAGCTGGACGACAAAACGGTATCCTTTCAGTCTACAAATGGAGCAAAGATGCAACGGCCACCGTCTCACAGAAGCAAAACCTTTGTCACGACTCAAAACAGTGGCCGTGCCAAGCGTCAATTTGACCGGAAGTTTGTCAGAAAAGTATGTATGCTTGTTTCGTAGATTAAAAGTAGACTTTTGACGGGGTGCAGCATGAAAAGCTTATTGCATTCCTGCAAAATATAGGATAAGATGGAAATAATATCAGAATTATTAGCAACCTGAACTGGGAACAAATAGTTATAGGGCCAGTTGTACATGTTATGGGGTCGTTAGTGGCGCTCACATCCTTTTATATAAAGCACGCGTGGTGGTCGCCGGTAGGAGCGTCGACCAAGCTAACGTTCCTGCCACCTACACTTGCGCGTCTCACAGGTTATGGTGGAAATTGAACGTCTAAGCATAGCGTCCTGGCCGGAATCCGTCAGTCACAAGTATGTACACTGTATAGATGGGCTTGAATTCGGTTAAGGTACCATTTTTTAATTTGGTAACGTCTTTTGAGACGGACTGTATGTGCTAAACTTTCCGTTGTTGCCCTAAGGGATATTCATGTCTCATGCGTGGTACATGTGTTCAGTCTTTATGGTCAATGCCACAGCGCTGATTGTGCTCAGACCATTAAACATGAGAAGTAGAAGTAAAATTGTTGATGAGATATACCAGAAGTGTTAGACAGGACTCCGTACTCAGTATCCAAAATGCTGCACAGGATATCACAAAAGGAGGATACGATTGCGGCCCTGAATGAATAAATACATAAATAAATAAATAAATAATTTAATCAAGAAGTGGCATGCTTACATGACTGCACTCGAGACATTCCAACACGTGATCCGTTCCCTTCTTCAGTAGCCAATGAAGACTTCGAGCATAGGGAATATGTAACTGAACAGAAAAATAAATACAACTTGACTTCAAATGAAAACGTTAAGAGTGTGATAGAAATTACAATAAGCATACCATTGTCTTGTAATCTGTCAGTGTTGTTATTAAGGGTGTCAAGAGTGTTAAGCACGTTACATTACGTTGCAAACGAAAACATTATGATCTTACACACACATAAAAACAGTTCACATATGGCCACCCCCCTTTTGACATGCACCTAAGAGGAGTACAGTTCTGTTACTCGTTTGTTGATCAATATGAAGAAGTAAAACATATAAAAATTCACCAGTGAATGAAAGTCCAGTTTGGCGATGCACACCTGTCAGTCCAGTAAGAGTGTGAGGGAAGTGAGAAGTTTCACAACATCGTGACTTCTGTGACATACACTCTTCGGTGTGCTTCAGTCTGTCGTGAACATTATTTTGCAGAAGTCATTGATCACGTCATGAGAAGAGTAAAACTGGAGTACACTGAAACGGTGGAAAAGTTAGAGGGGAAAAGAGGCAGAGGGAGACCAAGAGAGAAGATGCTGGACAGTTTGACATCATGGCATGGGAAGATTATCTCTGTCAGAACTGACTGAAAGTACACGAGACAGAAGGTTGTGGGTAGACTTTACTACCAACGCGATGGACTCTTAGAAGAGGAAGATAGCAATTCTTAATGCACGTGGGAGCCGCTGAAGCGCAGTGACTAGATGCTAGTCTGCCAGCCGGAAAGTATAGAGTTCAAATCCGCATTGAAGCATGTGGGTTTTTTTTTTTTTTTTACTTACCTTGGCTTCTAGACTGACTTAGCATAACATGAATACCAGGCAATATTATTGAATTAAAGGCTGTCGGCGTGATATTGACCACATCACCCATCAAGTGTCGATTGGTCACAATAACATATGAGTCAAGCACCATATGCAGGATGCGCCAGAGTGTGAATAAGTTGCTTTACTTAAATACCACCTGTACATTTTCAGAATATGTAACATTGCATATTGTTTAGTAGTAACAATACCAAACAGGACCATGGAATGTCAGTACTTTACATGGGATGTCAGTACTTTACATGGGATGTCAGTACTTTACATGGAATGTCAGTACTTTACATGGGATGTCAGTACTTTACATGGGATGTCAGTACTTTACATGGGATGAAGCAGTCAGGAAACAGCTGACAATCGATGTTAATGCTCTTCCTTTACCTTTTATTGTCAGCGTCTGTGGCTTAGGCGTTGCTAACGAGCTTCATAATGCCGGTTCGATTCCAGTCGTGGACCGTTGTCTTGCGTTGTTTTCGACAGTGGTATCGAGAGCTGACTGTTTAGTACAATAGCAAACTACTGAGCTGGGGTTGTTCTGCAAAGTCCTGTAAAGGATATGCAACTAAAATTTTTAACTTTTTGTAAACAAAAATATGGAATACTCGTAGGGGAAAATGGAAGGGGGAGGTGGAGGGTGCAATACATAAAATGCCGTTTTTAGGTTTTGGAGGACTCTGTAGCGTGCCGTTGAAGTATAATCACACTCTAGACACTTTGTCATGTTTGCAGTGTCTCTCTCATTGTTTGCTTTAAGACAGAGGTAGAGCACCGTCTTAGCCTCCCTACGTGTAGTCAAGGCACACATGAGATGGATAAAAGCAGTCAGTACCTGACCAGTTTTCAGTACTGGCAGCTTTAACTGTGCTCTGCAAATGACGCGTCTTTAGGCACAATGGCTAAGATAACCACCTCAGTCAGATCACTGCTCTCAAAGAAAGAAATTGCAGTCTACCCTGAGTATTTTGCAAAGGAAAGTCTTGCCTCTGCCTCATTTTATTTCATATGGCTTAAAAACAGAGTATTACGATGAATCTTTGCACCTATCAAAGATGTAATGGCGAGTAAGAAGAAACAATGACATTCATAATCTGTTTAAATCACTATTGATCATTGGCTTACTGAGAGCTGAGATGTTAAAATGGCTGGGGCATATTGAGAGAATGTCAGATGACAGAGAGGTAAAAACTGTATACACAAGGTAGACCAAGAGGCAGACCAAGAAGACGATGGAGAGATAACTCCAGAGAGACCTGCAGACACTTGGTGTTACCAACTGGAAAGAGAATGCTAACTTTAGCAGCAATGATCCTTAAGGAGGAAGAAGAAGAACGTCCTGCCTTTACAAAAGCTATTGTTATTACTCATCCAAAAAATATTTTTGATGACGATCGGCTTCTAACTTATATTCACACGAGCTTATATGGTAAAAATTAACTTAATTCCAGCAAGTGACAGTGGTTGCAGGTCAGATAGGCGCTACTGATGAAGAAAGGACACATGTTGAGAAAACCTGATACCAATATAATTGTAATATCTCACATTAGCTGAGCTACACGCATATAGGAAAGAAAAAGATTACATGACGCGAGTTGCTGATGGCCTAAGCTCCACTGAAAGATTAAAGGCAGAAGAAGAAGAATTAGGTAAAACAAACAGGGTAATGTCCTATATAATGTTGAAAGACGCACATGGTAGGAAATTAGTTATAACTAATATTTGAGATCGCAAAATGTGAGTCGGAATATATTTATTTTCAGATGACCATTCACGTGTCCATCTACAGACTGACGTCTTGAAGAACCATGGTGATTACATTAATGCTTCATATATCGATGTAAGTTTTGTAGCCATATTTGTTATTAAGAATGTGGAAAGCTTAAGGTTAGGTTTAAATCAAGATGGTGCACTCTGTTGCACTGGATTAAACCATCGAACCCTTATAGTTAGATTTATCTCCGCACAGCTTCGCCTCACACAAATCACCGTTTCGCTGCTTCAGCAAGGATCACCAGTGATGTCGGTTATTGTGGAGCGAATGATGCAGTCCGTGGACTTTCAGAGTGCCAACCGAAGGACGTAACTATTTAAATTTTAAGACAGATTTCTAGCCACTAAATAATAACAGACAAAGTCAAGGTATTGCAATGGCCAGAAGCTTCATGCTGGCTTGGGTTCAAATACGCCCCAGACTGACTTTGACCCAAACATTGACGTTGGCTACCAGGTGGACTCAGACTACATTGGATAACAAGCAATATCCGAAGTAACGACGGCCTGTGTGATGATGACCACATCACCCATTGAGTCTGGTTGGTCTATAGAAACAAAGATCTAGCACCGTGTGCCCGATGCCGCATTTGCCGTCAAATTGTCCTTTTCTGACTTACTAGTAATACCTTGTATTTTTCCCCGTTTCCTTCTTCACGTTCCACGAGGTTCCCCTTCAAAGTTTGTGTTACGTCTGTTTACTGTTTGATATCAGCTCGATACAGGCATTCCTGTTGTCTAACGGCCCGTGCAAACAGTAGAACGGACACATGCTGGCCTATTAATTGTGAGCGGTGGTTTACAAAATATGGAATGTCGGTTCGGTCTACTCTTTACTATTTCCATTCACTGGTGTATTTTTAACGTGCGCAGCGTACATGTTGGCACCTTTTCGTCTTTCCAGACAATAGTGTTATATTGTGCTATGAGGAGGCATGAGTCTCCCAGCCCACGGCGAAGGCGACTGTGACTAGCAAGACCCGCCCGCGTTAAGAAAAGTCTTCCACGATGATAGCATAGGATTTCAGGACCGTGTCGTCTCACTGATAACAGGCTGTAGCCCACTGTGATTTTCTGTATTTATCGTGCACTTCTCGGGTGGCTTAGGTGACGAATTTGTTCACCTTTTTTCAAGTTTCAGCTACACCATTTCTTGGCCTTCCTCTTGCCTTCCTCCAAGATGTTCTGCTGTAAAAAGTCTCATGTGCAGTTTGGTCTGGCTGCAATCTCACCACATGACTCAAACTTTTCATTCTTTCTCTGTCAATATAATCCAGACTCTAATGCTCGTTTTCGTAACCTCTGGTTTAAATAGATCCATGTCAGTACTCTGCCTCGTTAATTTTTAGAAAACAATTCTACAATCTTCTTGTGCTGTTATTGATCTTGCGGAGTATCTAGTGCCCTATACATTGTTATTCACATTAAAGATGAAATATAGAAACATTTATGTGGAAATTATCATCATATGGTTGGAAAGAGCCCTATACTTACTAATTTCATACAGTCATCGTGTACCTTCGTTGTTTTATATTTCAGGGTTTTCAGCAAAAGAAACAATTTATAGCTTCACAGGGTAAGTCATAAATATGATTCATAACTTATACTTATGACACTTCAGTTAACACACACACATATACAAAGAGAGGAGGGAGAAAGAAGGAGAGAGAGGTGAGAGAGAAAACAACACATGTTTAATGCAATATGTATAAATGCAATATGTATAAATGTTAACATTCTCATCAAGCTGAACAGTAATAATTTGTTTTGTTTTTTAAATAATTTTTTTTTTTCTTTTATTTTTTAAATTTTTTTTTCTACTGCTTATGAAATCACAAACAGTGATAACTAAAACGTTCTGCTTTCTTAACAAAACTGTTCGCATGAAGGTATGTTGTTAGCGACTAAATTCTTCCTGGACAATTAGAAAATAACAGTATAAGGATTCTATTTTAAATGTTGTCAGTCAGGACGAATTGTTTCCTACAAATCCTCGAGGCCATGTACTGACGTCGATCTATTGAAACCACAGGTGCCACAAAGATTATTTTGGAAGACTTTGTCCGTATGCTGTGGGAACAAGAGGTTGAGGTGGTTGTCATGCTGACAAGTCTTGTCGAGGATGGCAAGGTAGACAAATTGTTTTTGTAGTTGTTATTTTTGTAGTTATTGTTGTTGTCGATCGCTTTGTGGGCCACCGTGGTGTAGCGCCTAGATTATCTCCTGCGGATCGGGAGGTGATGGTATCGTACCTGAGGAAACCGGGCTTTTTTTTAATGACCTTCGCTTCCAAGCTGACCCAGCCTTAAATCTCGAACTGTCCTGCGAAGTAAAGGCGGCTCGTGTGATGCTGACAACCTCACCCAACCAGTGTCGATTGGTCAATACAATACAAGTCTAGCTATATGTTCCCAGTACACACGAAGCCGTGAAAAAGGGTCCCTCATTATGTCTTTCTTGGCCTCTGTGTCTTAGAGGTTAGGGAATATGGCTAACACTAATCCTTGAGCAGTTGGGTTCGATTCCCGCAGTGGATGGTTAAAACAAACTGTTCTCTCTGATAATGGACAAGAGTCTCACCGAAGAAGAGACTGGGGCATCATCAGAAAATATTCCCAAAGACAATGGAGGTACACCGTAGCTGACCTTCATTGTGCAGACGGCACAGAATATTATTATAATGACATTTAATCCTGCAATGTGTCGATGATGCACAATTGGTGCACTGCAAACTTAATGATGGCCATTGTGTATTTTATAATCATAAACCACCGACTGACCGTGACAATCTTCTACAGCTAAAGTGCGAGCAGTATTGGCCCAACGATGGGGAAATCACCATTGGCGAGCTTACAGTCAAGCTTACAACCACACAAGTGTTCGCTGACTACACCATCAGGAGACTGTGTCTTTATAAGGGAGTAAGTACATAAGAAATTCCTATTCTTTTCAGACATTTATGGCATTAGTTGAACAACAACAAAAAAACAATAACAACAACAATAATAATAATAAAAGAACAAGAAGAAAGTAAATGATTCAAGTGACATCAGTAGCCAGCATCACAACGGTCCTCTTTTTTTTTTTTTTTTTTTTTTGGTCTTAGGACTTATCCTAATACCTATTTAAGGATGATGGATAGACTGGGTGCATAAATTAATTTACCCACCCCCCCCCCCACACACACACACACACACAAACCTTTCCCATATGGATTCAAATCCAAGACTTTCAGGTGGGTGGCAAGCGCCCTGGCCTCTAGCTATTGCGATTCTCGTAGCGTGTTTTGGGCTTTATTAAATTTCTTTTATTTCGTCATCTTGTTGTTCTTGTTGTTGTTGATGTTGTTCTTTTTCTTCTTCTTTTTTTTTTCTTCTTCTTCTTCTTCTTCTTCTTCTTCTTCTTCTTCTTCTTCTTCTTCTTTTTCTTCTTCTTCTTCTTCTTCTTCTTCTTCTTCTTCTTCTTCTTCTTCTTCTTCTTCTTCTTCTTCTTCTTCTTCTTCTTCTTCTTCTTCTTCTTCTTCTTCTTCTTCTTCTTTCTTTGCCATCTAATTATTATTACTCTTCTTTCACCGGCTGTAAACTCCGGTGGAAAGTCGTGGTTGTAAGCAAAAGTAAAGGAACGATTTCCGCTTCTGGTGTCTTATTTAGAATATTGTATTAGCTCCTTATCTTTGTAGAACAGCTGGTACTAAATTGGTGTTATAGTCAGTTACATGTCGACCATCTTTACGACCTAGTATAATTTTTTTTAATGTCGACCATGGAGCTGGATTCTCACAGAAATCTTCCCTGACATAAATTCTAACCTATAATCCATTTTTTTTAACTGTAATTTGCTAGGATACGAATTTGAACACAAAACCTTCAGGACTGATGGCAAGTCCTGAAGATTTTTGGAGAAAAACTATTAAGCATGATGAAGGAGTATGAGTCATGGAAACTGAAATTTGATCAGATTGCAAACACATTTTAATACCAGTTGGTGTCTGTATTTGGGCATCCATGTTCAAATGTGTCCAAAACCAAACTGGCTGCAAGTAGTCCGTCATACCAACTTTATACTACTAGTTTAAATGTCGAGCTCTAATAAAAACTCACACGTCTAAAATAAACACCTGTAAATGGTATGCTTTACTAAAGCCGTCATTTCAACTACCTGAGAATCAGTGAGAAACGAAACTAGTTTAAAAAAACTGTGGAAAGAGCAGAGGTTTAAATGACTAGGAAAACACCAATGACTTACAAACGCTACATCTAAGATAAGCTGATATGATAGCAAATGGGACTCGATTAGAACATTAGGCGACGTCGTTAAAGATATAGTACTTTCACCCCGAATGGCAGTAGCCAGAACTACCTGTCCAGCTCTGGACAATCAGCTGTTCCTTTCCAAGACGTTTAACTGAAACAAAAAGTAGAAGATGACGATAATTCCCAGTTTACTTTTTTCATTTTAATAAAACATTTAATTCATTAAAAAGACATGTCTGAAATTATGTAAACATATGTTTAAAAAACTGTGTGCATAATATATCTGAATCAGAAGTTGAACTGTAAATGTATTTTCAGAAAGCCCTACCTGTGCAGGTACTGACACATTTCCACTTCACAACCTGGCCAGACAAAGATGTCCCAACAACCGCCTGGGGTCTTGTGGATTTTGAGCAGCGGGTGGCTGCTATTTCCACAAGTAAACCCATCGTTGTCCACTGCAGGTAGATCTCATGTTGTTTGCCGGGCTATTGCTTGTATGGCTTGTTGGTTTAATGTACTTGAGAATGTTTGTGCAATTGCAGATATATACTATTTTTTTGTAAACATTTATTCTTTAGGAAGGAAGCTGTGACAAGAGTGCGGACAGCAATGATCTACTGATCCGGCAGCTTCCGCTGCAAGCTTTGTTCCAGACGTAGCAATTTTTTTAAGAGCTAAATCTTCGGACCGAGTGAAAAAACATGCAGCATGATCAACACACTATTTCTTTTAAACTGCGCAGGTTTTGTGCTTCATCCCTCGTCTTAACTGGCTATGACTGACATCTCTCTATAGTACATTATAACATTATCGTCTTGAAGTATGGACAGATTGGCTGGATCTGCACCACTGGGTGGTGAACTAATACATGACAAGGCAGATGTGGTCAAGGCCCTTTGGGAACAAGCAACGGAATCAGTATAGAAACAAAATTAATATGGCCTGGAGAGAATGAGGCACCTGAGTGTAACCAGAGGGTTTGACAGGCTCACTACACTCAGATGAAAGGCAAGACGGACTTATGACCAGATGATGACCGGTGCCATCAGTATTGAAACTCTGCACTGGCTGCTGAAGACGAGGACGGAGCACGCATGGGAATTCCCCGAGTGCTGTGATATCAATTCTTGACTCAGCACAACACACACAGTGATTTTAAACTTCCACAATGTTCACAATAGTTCTTGGAGATTGTCGCCATTCTTAAATAGGGCAATGTGACCTATCCCCACATTCTAGATTAGGAGGTGGTAAAATATCGATACCATGTGCACAATTTTGAAAATACGGGGCTATTAGCAAATACCTTATACACTCTAGTCCTGAGAAGGGTCACTTTCATTATTTTATGCGCAAATTTAGGAAGGTGGAAAAGGGAGGGTTGGATCTTTAGATATTTAGAATTAAGACATTCCTTTTAAAAATAAAGATATTTTAACGAAATTTCAAAACTTATGTTGTTGTATGTCACCAGTGCCGGCGTGGGACGTACAGGCACGTTCATTGCTCTACACAACACCCTGGAGCAGATCAAACATACCGGATACTTGGACGTCTTCACAACAGTTCAGAAACTCAGGCAAGACAGAATTAACATGGTGCAGACCTTTGTAAGTAATTTTTGTATGGTTAATTTGACAAACTCAAATTACAATCTTGTTTTGTACTTTGTTATTTGAAGTTTGTGTGCTTTCGTTTTTTTCACCCCAAAAACAGACAGTCTAATATTTCAGTGTGGTAGATGGGCTGCATGCAGTCGTGGGACCTAGGCTGCATGCATTTGTGGGACCTGGGCTGAACTCTCTCATGGGGCGTAGGTGGGTCTGGGTTTAGGTCCAATTCTAGATGTTTTGGGGCAGTTAAAAACACTACAAAGCTGGTAAACCCGGTCTTACCACCCTATTAAATATTGGACTGACCATGTGACATTATTTGGGGTGACTTGTTACGAAAGAACAGATGTTTGTTGTCAGGGCGATGTCCTGTGTTATAATACAGAGAGACGGCTGCATCAGGTAGCACCGTAAGACGGGGGAGAGGCATACAACTACAATTTTAACTTTTTATCTGACAGCATGAAGCTGTTAGGGACGGCATTTTGAAGACTTGCATCATACTGAGAAAATCTACTGCATGGAACTGTTTGTTGTTGGCAGCTCTCCGTCTTTCCAGACAATAATGTTATATTTTGATACAGGGAAGCGTGAACGTCACAGCCAGTGCTGCTGGCAAGTTTGACTGGCATGACGTGCTTGCTATGAGAAAAGTCCTCCGCAATTGGAGCCGTGATTTCGTTAGCATTGTTGCCATTTCGTGCACTGAATGATGCCTCTTCTTAGACGCTCAACTCTTAACCTATGCGCAATCAATTATTTTTTATTCCTATTACTTCCCGGTGTCCCTCTCCCTGTAGCACGGCTCACTACGTTGTGTTCTCATAGATCTACATCAATACGTGAATCATTCATGTCCCGCTTGAATACATTTGTATATCTTAGTAGAGGCCGAATCGACTCTTTTATTCATCTGTAATTCACCACAGAGTCCTTGTGGACTCTACCATCTTCCATCCTCCAAGTATGACCCAGCCATTCTAAGACTTAGAAAACGCAATACTGAGAAAACTGTTGTGATCCCCTACTCTTGTCAATACTTCAGTTTTGTTTTCTTGTCTTGCCATGTAATGCTAAGTAATCTTAACAGCCGTCGCATGTAAAAAATATTTTAGTCTTGATTATATTTTTAAACTAATACAATATACACAGATATGTTTACAAAAGACTCAGGTAAAACAGAATTAGAATGATGCAGACATTTGTAAGCAACAGATTTGTAGTTAATTTAACAAACTCAAATTCTAGTGGGGTTATATAACTGATGATTATATGTTAAGATATACCACAATTAAATATTGCTAGCTCGTTGGTCTTAATTTGACTTGAAACGGGCTCCTTTTTTTTTTTTTTTTAATCGACTATGGTTCCCAGGTAGCTTCAATTTTAAATATTTAATAGGAGCTTATTGAATAAAAGAGTTAACCTTGGTTGTTGTTGTTTTTTTTTTCCCCACATCACCAATTGAAGACAGTCGACCTTTAAAGATAGTGGACTATCACCATAAAACACCTCAAAATGTAGAAAGAAATGTTCTTGTGTCTGTGGTCTGAAGCAAACAACGATGACCATGCCTGACCAGTCCCCTTAGTCGTTTGATATTTTTTTATGAAGCTGGTGTTACTTATTTTTTGTACTTCTTGTTATTTACTAATTTATAGTACTTCTAGATGTTACTTATTTCTTGTACTTCTAGATGTTACTTATTTCTTGTACTTCTATTATGATTTCAACACGTTTTTCGCCATTTCTCTCTCTCTCTCTCTCTCTCTCTCTCTCTCTCTCTCTCTCTCTCTCTCTCTCTCTCTCTCTCTCTCATTCTCTATCTCTCTCGCTGTGTGTGTGCGTGCGTGCGTGTGTGTGGGGTGTGTGGATGTGTGTGTGTCTATGTGTGTGTGTATGTGTGTGTGTATGTGTGTGTGAAAAGAGCTCACATAAACACACAGCAAAACATACGATATTATTATTTTAATGAAATTTACATATTATATTGCACGTTGTTTCTGTAATAATGCACATGACTAGATACAATGAAAAGGGCCAGACAGTAAACTGTATAATACACTGTCCCCACATTTTTTTTTTAATGCATAAAAGAAGTCGCATCCTCCAAGACTGTCCCACATACAACATATCAAAGCAAAACTGTTGGCCAAGAGAAACATCGGTGTAAGTCAAACTTTAGGGGTCGCTGAGTGAATTACAACAGACAGTGAAGTTCATACTAGAGACAACATTGCAGATATAGATAATCTATTTCAAGCGAACGAGAGAAGAAGAAATATTTTTACACAACTAATACAATAATTTCTAACACAAAAAAA